TTAACCAAAAATCCACAATTTCGGAAATAATATTGACGTGAAAAATAATGTTGACGCTTTAAAAAATCAAAGGTCGTGCAAGCAAATAAACGTAGATAGGGCTTGAAGAGAAAGTGCACCGAATGAATGGTAGTGCAAAAAGGTAGTGCACGGAATGAAAGGTAGTGTATTTTGCTGCTCGAATAACATTGAAAATGTTCTTATGTCGTGTCTGCCACAACAGGAAGTTCTTTTGCGAGATGCCCGGAACGCTGTGGAAGGGCGCTTTGGCGCAGGGTGGAGCTTTTCCGGGGCTAACTGGATTCCGCCGAAGGACGAACACGATGTGGAAACTTCTGAGCAAGAGCCGGTCGACCAAGACGACTGCCGATCAGTCACAATGCTGCCGGTGGAACTACTCGGCGAAGTGCTGCAGTTTCTGGACAGTATTGATCAAGTGCTATGCAGTCGTGTTTGCACGTTGTGGAATTGTGTGCTCACTCAGGATCAGTACTCCAAAGAAATTCGCGTGTCGTACTTGGTGGATTCCACAATTTGTGACCCGCAACTAAAGCGTGGGACCGTCATGCTGGCCAAAAGCCTGCGGAAACGTGTTACTACCTCGACAGAACGCATCATCATACGACGCGCTGTTCAGAGAGGCAATAACACCGACCTGGTAGACTGCCTGCGATTCATCCACGCTTTCGGTGAAGTGAAGGCTCTGGAACGGAAGCTGACGGTGATATTCGATCGGGGTGTCTGGGAGATGGTCAATCGGTTCACTCGGGAGATACACAGCTTGGCTGACGTTTGTGCCGATGTTGCATCGACGGTGGCCGCGGTAATCTGGAAAAACTGCACGGTTTCTCCGGGCGGTGGGCTCTTGATGGAGTCGTGGGAAGTGCCAGTTTCGTATGGCATGGTGAATGTGAATTCATCCGAACTGGGATCTGATTTGTGCCGCATGCTGAAAGCAGCTTTACCGACAATAAACTTCGATCCGGCCACCCTTACAGCGTGGATTGAGAAAACTGCGAATCAGGAAAACTCGCGTGACCGACGTAATGTCAGAGAGGTGATTACTGATTTGTTATTTCTGATTTTTTAATTAGTGAGTAGGTAGTTAGTTGTTCAGGGTTAGCGCTGCCTCGTATTCGACCCCCAATCTTCTCATTGTTGTTTTCCAGGTTGGCTATGTTAATTTTACTCCCTTATGGAGATATTTCTTATGATACAAAATGTAAAGTTAAAAACGCAGTTGTGAGGTCAGGTATGGCGATTTCCCCCTAGCTCAAGAGGTCGAAAATACATTAGGCCCCACCTTTAGGTGCTCTGTACCCTTAAGTGTTTAAAATTCGATTGTTTTGGCCCGTTTTTTAAACCAAAATCGCACTTACACTTCAAGCTGCTTTAGGAGTGAGCAGCGAGAGGTACTACGACAGGAGCGCATTACGGTGTACGACATGTTATTAGATGTAAATCATTGCAGTATTACATGAAGCCCCGTTGAACAGGTTTTGTACGATTTCCAAAACGGCGATGAACGTGAAGGTATTCACTACCGGCACACACACTGGACCACCGAGGAACTGCGCTGTCTGGATGTCTCTTATGCTACACTGGCTTTAGCCCATGCTGTTTTTTTTGTGGAACGTCGGACGTTGTGGCAAAAGGTTCATGTTATGCGATTCGACGAGACCAAAATCGTAGAATGGCTGGTAAAATGGTCTGTCCGACAAATAAAAGAAGACATCCAAACATCCTTGGAAGGGTATTTTAAGCCTACCGACGGGGACGACTTTGTCATGATCCAGCAACTCCCCATAACGTTAAAGGACATTGAAGAAATAGAGGTGCAGTACAAACCGTTTACCGATATTCTGCATACATGGCGCCATACAGTTAAAGAAAGCTATAGCGTTCGTAAAGGTAGAGATTTCTTAATATATATATATATATATATAATGCTTCTTTAGTTCGCACAACTACGAGTATTTACATGCATATGGGTTTATCCGTCCGCACAAAACGGAAGAAGAACTACAGAGGATTTATAGCCTGTACAAAGAAAGTTTAAATTAGTTACCGTTTCACTTTTCTTTGTTTTCGCAAGGCTGACGAACGCCGAAACCGCCGGGAGTCAGTTAAGAGAAACACAAGTGACACAAAATCTCCCAAACCGTCTCGACTACGTACCAGTAAGGCGCAGGATACTCCATCGGAAACGCCCCAGGACAGAATGGACACAGGTTACGTGCTGTGGTTTAAATGTCTCTTCGGCAATGCTGAAAAGTCGAGACGAATTAGTTTAATGAATTATTTTATATTTTTTTCGAAACATAATACTCGAACAAATCGAAAACTGAAACTGACATTGTTTTTTCGAATGAACTAGCCGAATAAACCAATCGAAAACTACGGCTTTGTTTTTTAAGGTCACCCAGCTGCACGTTTACAAGGCTGTATTGTGTGTGTTAAGATAATTTAGTAATATAGTGTTAATTTTCATAGAACTCGACTGGACGCCAGTCGGAGATAATCTGAACGATCTGCACGATACGTGTGGAGCGTTTGCGTCAATTCCAAAAGACTTGGCTCATGGAGCGCGCCTGCGAGAAAAAACATTGGCAGAGCCAGGCAAAAGCGACATGCGATTGTTTAAGCGTAGCGAATTTTGGATACTTTGGAAGGGTCTAACTGGTGTCTTGAATCAGCCCGCGACAACGATAGTCAACAATGCACAGGCTACTTTTCCTAAATTCAATCCCGAATGGTATTACTATTATGTACGAGGTCCCCCAGGTTCAGGGAAATCCTGTGCGGCGTTCAGCTTTGCCTTAAGCACGGCAGCTGGTTTAAACACAAGAGCAGAAAACCCGAACTATAACCTTTCGAACGCGGATGCGGAATGCACGGTGCTGGATTCAGAGTGGAATGTGCTATGGATCGGATTACCCAGCCAAGACCAAACTGGTGCACGGTGTTTCGAGTTCTTTAAGGACAAGGATAAGACGTTGAAATATAACATAATAGATTTTTCCGATATCACCAAGGATTCTGCTCTACAAATAATCAAAAAGTTGCAAGACAGCAAACCGCGCGTTGTCTTCATTGATGGACACCGGGGAGCGAAAGTGGATGTCAATGAAAATTATGAACCGTTCTGCAAAGAATTCAGAACCTGGAGAAAAGATGAGCGACTGCTTAATGATGGCTCCAACGTCCGCCTTAAAAATCGTAGGCTTATATTCGTTTCATCTATGGACATCAAATGGGATGCAGAAAGAGGTCGTGTGGTTGAATTGGAGCACTGTTCATGGGAACGGAACGATTTCGTTAAAGCCCTGCAGGATAAGGAATTCTTCCATTCTGTGCGGCTGATTTTCCAATATGATTACGACAAGTACCCCGAGTTCAGTAAAATTTTGGGCCAAGACGAACTGTCAGCTGAAGATGCCGAAGCGCTCATTGATGCAAAGTGGGAAACTGCTGGATATTCTGCGCGTAACATGTTTCAGAAGAAACTGTTTCAGATTGAAGCCGATATTGAAAGCGTATATCGGGGTGGTGCTGGCATTGACAAAGACAACCATAGTCGGTTGTATGGACTGCGGCGAGAAGGCGTGAAATACTGCGCCGAGGAAGACTGCGGCAAGGAAGACTGTAGCCATGAAAAATTTACAGGCTTTAAAATCACGCCGGATTTTATGTGCGCCTTTGCAAAATCAAGAGTTATCCAGAATGAGAAAACCGAAGATATTAGGCGTCAATGGAATTCCGTAATTTATGATGTTAATAATACCGCTTTTGGACATTATTTCGAACGATTTGTCATCACTATGGCTAAAACAGGAACAGAAAAGGGTGGCATAACCGGAGCCTTTAAAATAAAAATAAAATCCCCGGATACCGAGTTCAAAGAAATGTGGAAATGTGGTTACGCTTATCTTTTTAGAACAAAGAAGGATAAATACAGGATGTCCACATCTGAGGAGATAAGAACAGACGCCGCAAAAGAATTTTGGCTAATTCCGGAATCGCGAACTCAAGCATCCTTTGATTTGGTGTATTTGGATACCAAAAAAAACGGAGTGGTAACTTTCATTCAGGTCACCACGGCAAAAAAACACTCCGCTTGTTGTATAACGCATTTGTCATCGTACCTTTATCGGATCTGTACTGAACTGAATCCATTTCGCAAAAGTAAACTGAAATTGCCAGAAAACCCGATGATAAAAAGGCCTGAGAAAGTCGAATTCTGCTATTTGGTTCCATGGGGACATCCGGAGGAATACCACTTCACAAATTTACCTACGCATCGCGATTACGTGATCGAGGACGTATGGCCATGGAAAACCCTAGACTGGTATGAGTCAGTACCAGTGTACGAACTGTATGATTGGAAGTATGGTGAGTTGAGTTGAACTTTCTTGGCTTTCTTAGCTTGGTTGAGTTGACTTTCTTAATATTAACTGGTTAACATCCTGTTTTAGATCAGAAAAGAACCGAAAACCAAATCGCGTGGAAATTCAGTACAAGGCGAAAGTAATCGATGAACTTTTACCCCTGATAATAGTTTGTGCTGCCTTCGTAATTTTGTGATTTCTGTTTCTGGATGAGGATATTTTGAAACAAAGTATTTTGTAAAACTAAATCGTTTCTAAGCTTCGACAAGAAAGGCAAAGGTTTTGACCGTAGAATTCACCACTAAATCCTGGAGTATTTCCGACTAGAAAGCTAGCTGTCAAAATTTGTTGCAAGCCGACAATAAAACTCATAAAAGTCATACTTCGAAATATACCTACAGAAACTCTATCTTCATTTTGCGCTGCAAATCAGTATTTTGCTCTTTATTTTGCATTACAGTTATCTCTGCAGCCCGTCGTACATGTGATCAAAATAAAACAAAATAAGTGCATACGTAAACACGTAAAAAAATAATTATAATGCATTATATAAAAAAATAATTATAATAAAGTGATGTTAGTATTATAATACTTGTCCAATTTACCAAAATGCGCACTTGACAGTACTTACTTGTCATTTACCAGAGCTGATCTGACCTTTATTTAACCTTTTTCATATTGTACGGTTCTCCGTGCACGCCAGGACTTGGCGGAAATGATTATCCGCGCGACATTAGTGAGAATTATTGATCTATTATTCAGCGCTCAAAATGCCCCCTGCTATTATCTGCTGATTATGCGTGTTGATTGTACGAATGCTTCTGTGCCAGTGCTCTATTGGGAGAGGCACCTGATCGCGTGTCTCACGTTGAAAATCGTTATCTCCCCGCTGAATTGCGCTCTATCGACAAAAATATCAGACAGAAGGCACCCCCTAATAAATCATTTCGGGAAAACCAACAACTGGGGTAGGCGTAGAATATCTTTGAAATGATGGCAGTGTCTAGTTGCGACTGGACTTTTATTTGCAGTCAGCTCCAAAAGTAGCACCACCGATCCCTTCCCATTAGGCCATCTCCACGAAGCCGAATAAAACCCCCCGAGAACCGATCAAAGTACAGAGTACTTCCTTGTTTTGTTTTACTAAAAAGCAAATTATTAAGGAACATACAGACAAATAATTTGAAACTCTTTCTAAGCTTCCTATTAATTTATTTTTATTTATTTATTTTTTGCCATTATTACTCTAGCACTCTATTACCATTTTGATTGGCTGTTTAGCACCAGATCAAAGCGCAGTTGAGCACTGGTTCAATCAACCAACCTCAACTAACCAATCCCGTAAAAACCACCAGCACCGCCTCCAGCTCGTTTCCCTCCCCGGGAGACCAGCGAAGTCGGTTAAGAGCGGTACGGCGCCGCGGCGACGACAGGCCCCGACCAGGACTCTTGGTCCCTTCGAGCTCCAACCACCGTTCGGCAGGTGTGCGACCGGAAGTCTCCGAAAAGCGGAAAAAACAGTGTGCACGAGCAGAAATAAGCGTGAGTCGAGCTTCCATTGATCACACTCAACTGACCTTTGTATTCAGTAAAGCACTTGCGTCTTCTCGGTGGTTATCCGAAAATATGGCAACAAAGTCATCTTTAAAAGATGACGAAAAGCGGAAGAAATCCTCAATTAAGGATGATGAAAAGAGGAAAAAATCCTTAATTAAGAATGGGGAAAAAAGTCCCGTCGCAAGACATCAACCGCGGAGCGGAAAGCTCTTACAAATCCAGGTCTGACTCGAAAAGTTCAATAAGCAGCAAGAACGGCCGTCTTCGCGAGACCAGCCTGCCTCCGTACGATCCTAAACGGCCGTCGCGTAAAACACTGTCGGGTGCCACTAGACGAGGAACAGACGATTCACTACAGGTTAGCAATAGATTTTTTGTACGTCATTTTTCGTCGTTTCAACATCTACTGACGCCATCTGGTGTATCGAACATTTCATTCTATTTAGCCGTCACCGTTTGATCCAAAAATCGAAAGACTATTATTTACTTCACTGTATACTTACACGTGTCCTTTAAAACTAACTTAGCTAAATGTGGTAGTTTCTTTAGTTAAAAACATTTTATGCATGAATGTGGTTTATTGATATCTCCGTTGTATTAGATATTAGTTGAATGTTATTTTTCCAAATTTTCTTATTTGCGCTTCTTGGTTCAGCTAGGTACAGAATAAGTTCGGCTGTGCCGTTGATGATCTTTGCTTAAATTAGTCAATTGTGCGTTTAGAAAAGGCTGAAACCAGCCTGTACGTTTCTATTTTCAGGGGAAAACCTCTTTAGCTTGTACTAGCTGTATTTCCATGCAGCTAAGTAATTTCCGTACAATTCGTCAATAACTTCTCGAATAACTGATGCAGTATCATTGTTTTAATTTATAGTATTTAATAAAAACCTTTTGCAAATTTATACGGGCAAATTCGGCGTTCTCTTTCCAGCTTAACTGGTCGACTGGTACTTACATGTTCAACTCACCTCAGCCCATGCAAGTTAATAGTTCTATGTGATGTTATTATGTAGTGGTCAGTTGGTGTGTGACGCTGGACTTGTCGCTCGATTGACGGTGTGTGATACCACTGACATGTAGGAAAATGTGTGAGAATTGTGGAATGTAGACCATTTAATTGTAGAAAATTGTTTAAAAAAACGGGAAGTTAAAGAAGCAGTGTTTGTAACTGGGCTGAGACAGAGTAGGATGTAGTACCCCTGCAAGGGGCGTCCGGCGTTTAGTGGAGGAAGTGGGTGATAACGTTGTGCACAAAGCTAAAGCCTAATTTTATTCTGGCTTAGATTTTAAGATTGTCACGTCTGATCGCGCTGTCATAATCGCAGTTCGGTCGTATGAAAAATTGTTCAAAGTTTAGATTATATTAGTTTTACATTCAAGGGTTTGCCGGAATCTGCCACATTCTGCTCATACGAGTTGAGCGGCTCGCAGGTTTTATTTTGCGCCATTTACTGGTCAAATTTTGTTGCAGACATTTTGCGTTGTTTACTCACATCAAAGTGATCAAACTATGTTTCGTTACTGTACTGTTATAATTGTTGATATTTTTATGGGGTGGGCTCGGCACACAAGTTTAACCACCAAAATTTCCGCACACCACCTTTCACCACTACCATTGACTGCGCTGTCTGCGCACACCATTTTTTATTATCATCACTATATAATAATCGCGTGAGCCTTAACGAAATTCCCACTCTGTCGAGTTCGCCAGCCAGATCCACTGAAACAAACTTCCATGTCAACGTATCATTAGATAGCCCTTACTGCGTAGATTGGCCATCGCAAGTCAGTTTTTAGACAAAAACAAACGTTTGAATTTGAGAGGCTTATATTTTTCTTTTCAGGTTCCAAACAGTGGCTCCGAACTGGCGGTTGCCCAGAACCCTCGCTTATCGATTGTCTACTCTGTACCGGTTGACCTCGGCGCCGTCGTGTCTCAACGCAAACTCCAGGAAGCCGAATGTCTCGTGCATCAGGTGAGCACACCAGTCCTTCTCCAACTAAAATGCCTCCTCGTCGGTGAAGCCGACGGGTGCAGCGTTACCTCGCGCTCCTCGAAAAAACGAGACCACAATCTGCGAACTGGACACCAAACTTCAAGATAAGACCACACTGGAAGACGATAAATGCTGGTTATCCGAGCAGCTGACCATGAAGGACTGGCAGAAGCTGATGCTGGAATATGCCGGGTTCGAGCAGCAGATCATCGCTGCGCGCAACCGCCGCGGGATCTGCAGAACCAGAATAGAAATCATGAGTTGTTGAAGTTTCAGGAAGGCCAGTTGCGCGAGTTGAAACTGCTGCGGAAGGAGCATGGAGATAAGATGTCGAATCGCGCGGCGGGGATTGCGCTGCTGAGGTAGAAGGTCAGCAGCGAGCAGCTGGGTCCGGAGTATTCGCTAGACAGAGTGGATGAATAAATTACAGGTTCGTTTCTGTCAGATTTGAATACTGAGCTCATTCACCCTCGAGACTTGTTATTGAATAAATTAAAATAAGTTATTTGTTTATTTATTGACAATAATTATAAAAACTTTCATCGTGCCAGATTTTTTGTAAAAGTCATCAGCAATTCTGTATAAAAATAATAAATTTTGTTTTACGATTACGAAAAAATTACGAAAATTTCTAGAGAGTCGTTGCTTTCTCGAGCGTAAAGTAACCAGCAACTCGAAGTCAAAACCTTTACTCAAACAATTTTTACCAAGCCTGTCCATATACAGATAGTTTATTCTAAAGGTCACCGGCAGCGCCCAAATAAAATTGAATTAAAAAATCTCTACCAAGTCTTCTATTATCATTGCGTGTTTTTCCATACAGGTAGCCAGCAATTTGAGCGCGATTTAGAGAAGACGCTAAGGGAGGTGCAGGCGCTCGTAATGCAGGTGGAATCGACCGATGAGATTCGGCAGCATGCGCTGGAGGTGGTACTGCAGAAAGCGCAGAAGCCAGGGCACCATGGTGTGGATGAGAACATCCGGGTGGAGATTAAGGAAAAAGCACTGGCACAGCTGCTGGGCGAGAAGAAGGAAGTGCGCTCGGTGGAAGACAAAACGGAGGTGAACAAGGCCGACGCGCTGCCAAAGATACCTTCCGAGTACTGGTGAGTCATAAACTAGTCCATGTGTAACTGCATGGTTCATAAATAAATGCACTGACTAAACCATATTCACGCTTTAAGAATACTAAGTATGTAAAGAAAATACTTATAATTTTCAGGAGTCCAGATGTTTAGTTGGGATTCAATGCCAAATAGAGGACATCGTTTATTGCATGGCAACGAGAAGCCTAGCATCACCAAGCCCAGTCTGATACGTACGAGTAAGTACGGTTAAAGTTCAGTGCGTGGAAGCATGCGTTGCAGTTCAGCAGCAGCGTACAGTAAGTATTTGAAGTTTGGATCAAAACTTCGGTGGTTTGTCTGTTCTTTACGCCTTTTAAGTTGTCACAGAAACACGTACACATTGCCTTTCGATATTAATAGGGGCATGACGTCACAAGTCATTTATCAAGCGCATGAAGAACCTACGCTACGATTAATGTACTGATAAAAATTTTGTAGTTAAAGTTATTAATTAAATGTTATTAAGTTTAAATATTTAGTGTAACCGTTTCAAGCCTTGTCCTAAGTTTTACTTTAATCGGTTACTGCCGAGTAAACAAAATTATTCGGGAGTACCATTCAGTATTAGTGGACTGTCAACCGGAATACCGGATTTATTGTTTTGATTTTATTTGTACTTTTGCTTCTTGGTGAATCTACAGAGTACGACAGATCGCCGTATGCTGTAATGGATAACGAAGTAGAGAAATGTAAACAAATACTGTAACAGCCGATATTATTTTAATTCAGCGTGATTGCCAGTTATCCCCACTTATACACTGTTGATTTTGCAGCATGTACAACCAGTGCTTCGGGCGTTTCTCAGTGAGCAGCACCGGCACAATCCACCGCGTTAAACCGTAAAAACGCCTGAACTCCGCCCACGATGGACCGCGACACCCTGCGCCGGATCACTCGTACTATAAACATCTCGCGGGTCGAAAACCATAGTAAGCAGTCCACCGCATCCTCTTGTTTCACGCGTTTCTAAAGATTATACACTTTTTTCATCAAACAGTTTCTCGCCTAAAATTTTTGATATGTATCTAAATGTGATGTACGCGAGATGCTTTCACTGGAATCTCATTTAGGTTAAGGTCTTTATGTACGATTTATTTGCTTGTTTTTCTTTGTTTCAAAGGTCGTCTGCAAGAGCTCTGTTCGCTGGAGATTACGCACAACGCGCTGACGACGGTGGAGGATTTCGCTCCATTGAGTTTACTTTGCTCTCGCTCTTTGTCTATTAACCGAACTATAAACAGTCTGACAGAAAAATTATGCATGCAGATGACAATCTACAGATACGGAATAATATAAGTTTTTTGGCGAGAACGGTTTGTTCACCCAGCGAAAAGTAATTTATAGCAAGGCACCACAGCCACACTCACTGGCTGTACGAGCACTACGTTGATCTTAGATAATTTCCCCTTTTGAAAGTACTAAAGCACTCCAATTACATTGTTAATTTTTTAATAATACTCTGTATTTATAATTGTTGTAGTCTCATTTTACAAGTTACAGTCACTGCATCAATTTTTAAATGTTTTTTAAATGGTTTAAACGTTTCAAAAAATTGCGAAGATATTTCTTTGTTCTAAAGTTTGAGTTTTACTGCTTTTGATATTCCTTAGACTTCCACCTTTTGTGTGGTAAATTTCTTGAAAAAACAACGAATCGAGAAAACCATTCATTTTCTGTTATTTCAGTTTTCAGTCTTCTCGGCCGAACTTGATACGGTGAATAGCGATGGTCACAAGAATATTGCAGCATGACCTTGACGATCTCTAATTATCCGTGTGCGAAAACGCCGCACCATTCCGATATTAATACGTTTTGCGAAAATGCAACATTTAGAATTGAAATCCTTTACAGCAGAAAAGTACGGAATGATTGCACAACATTCATTTAAAAGTCATTTCAACCACAAACCAGATTAATTGCTAATTAGGCACAAAAATCTGCCAAACAATTTCACCCCAGAATTATTCATAAAATGTCTGATATCTGTAGGCATGGCATCGTATGGGACTGCGTAATTTATTAATAATATAACACACAAACTGAACACACGAGCGTTCATACCCACCTTTCGTATACCGGCGACGGACCGTCATCCGCCGAACGCCGTCTCCCCGGTCCTTTTCCCCTGGGTATCCCAGTAGAAGCGATGGGGTTGCGGCATTAGCGGCGCCGGCGAATTGCACTCCAACCGGTCAAAATCCATCACTCGCTCGGGGGAAAACGCCGCCACCGCCGGATTCTAAATTTCTACCCCTTTTTTCAAAGGATATCAGCGTCCGTTCCCCACTGCGGAATCAAATTTGCGAAATTTGTTTTTAATGAGACTTAAAAGTATGTATAAATAAAGAAAGATGTAGAATTAAAGGTTCTGTATGTATCTTAAATGCAAGCTCGAGCAGATCACCTTTTGTATACGTAGTTACAGTATATACTGCCACCTAATATGTCAAAAGCTGCATGATACCTTTAGAATTGATAAAGTCAGGAGGAAACGGAATGATGGTGGAATTGTTTGCGCAAATTTTCTTCTGCAGTGGAGAACATATCGCTAAAGAACGGAAGGTTGGAGATCGGTAGTATTTTTCTGACTGATGTTTTGGACGAGTTTAGCGAAAATAAGTTTCCGTGATACAGATTGTTCCACAGGTAACCAAACGAGTAAAGCAGCTCCACCAGGTTTGCCTGCTAAATTGCCTACTGAGGTTTTGATCCGTGAGATGCGGTTGTGGTTCCTCAAACTAGCCAATCGCAACTTCCCGTGCAGGATACCAATGCGGGTCAAAAATTATGCTGCCGAAGCTTGCTGTGCTTTTCCTGAACGTGGTGGAGATTCTTACTGCGTTCCCGATCACTGGAGCCGAGGAATAGGTAGCGCAGCGCGGTATAGCCCTGTCATAAGAACACATGCAGATTACGCTTTCACGTCCTCCCGATTTTATTAATTGCTATCCTCCCGATTTGCTTCATCAAATATTAGAGCACTTTGATGATTCAGATAATTATGAACATCGTTCATATATAGTTCCGGTGCGTTATACAGTTATATATGAGGGACGATAGAACCGTTGCAGAATATCTGCATTCATCGTTGGCCGTACAGGGCCACTTCCCTTAAGGTTTCACCTCATGCTGCAAATGTGGCCACATCTGCCCATTGGGAAACGACCAATCCGTCATGGTCGTCACGAAAAAGTTCACGCTGCGTTGTTTGTTGACAGATCAGTCGGAGGCTGCTTTTCCTTTTTGAAGAAGGTGATTGAGCACCATAATATATGAATCTTTCTGAAGAACCGAGAACGATTCTGAAGTGGGTGCCATATTCGTGAAAACGATGGTGTTAGTGGCTAAAATTATCACCGCTGTAGAGCCCTGCCACTAAAAAAAGTTTCCAGATCAGGGTAGATGGGAAGTTTAAAACGAAACCGTTTTCAAACCATTTATCAAGGCGATCCTTATTATTTAGCTTTTGAAGAGAAAACTTTTTGAGCAAATTAACCTGATAATAATCTTAATAACCTGATAACCAGTAATCTATAGCACTTCACTGCTATAGATTACTGGTATTCTAGCAACAAAGATGTTACAGTACTTACTCGTACTTGAAACAGTACCTTGTACGAAGTGCTAATAACTTCTGCTGGATCGATATTAAATGCCGTAAAAATATAAATATTAAATGCCTGACAAAAACAGCACTTTTGACGGCCGAAAATGCTCTTGAACATAATAATAACTACGTTATGGCTGAGTGCATGGGTGACCTTTTTCAGTCCGCGCGCATGTTGACTGGGTGCACGGGAGTCGCCAGGAGTTCTTACATTTGAATATTTATTAAATAAGGTATCTTCGAATTCTACTTTGTAAGTGATTGTTGCCGTGCTAAATTTCCCATTCTATTCAACAACGATTGCTTTTCAACTTTTGAGGCATATTTTGTGGTATGCCACACTCGAGCAACATTATATAACCCAAGAAATATATGTCTATGGGGTCAGACTACTGTCAACACTAACGGTGGCAGGAGTGAATGGTGTGATGTTCAAGGATTCGAATGTGCCATTCCCTTCAGATGACATCGCATCATTTCCGGGTCGAACGTCGCCATTCTCGGATCAAGCCTGTAAACACAGTTGCGGCCATTGCGATAGTAAAGAGCTACCGTATTTACCCCCTTGCCCCGTTTTTGACAACGTTTACTGACCACATCCACCCCGTTAGTCTCTCTGAACAGGTTTACGTGAACTTACGCAGATGTGCGTTGTTTACATTGACTTGAGAGCTACACTACTACTGCTAACTAACAGCTGCGGAAATATCCACTTACGTTTACTAACGGTACCCTGCGCGAACTTACGTTGTCTACACACCTCTGCATGTACCCAATTTTTTTTGTAACGAAACCTTTGCCATAAGTGTAGATTGTTTCCTTTCCAAGACTTAGCTTTCAGTCCATATAAGTAACGCAAGTCTGCGCAAGTTCACGTAAGTCAGTGCAAGTTAATGCAGAGAGGTAGAGGTGTCGAAGTAGGTAATGTAAGGGACAATGATCAATGACTTTCAATGAGTAATTTCTACAGCAACTTTTAATGACAATTGCGCACTTAGTTCATAAATACTAGTCGTGACGTTTTCCTGTACATAAGAAATGCGGAATATTAATATAGTAATAGTAATCTTACAAATAATCGTTTCATAATCTGAACATTTCATTTAAATAAGTTATGTGTTTATTCGAAACTGGTACAGTACGTAGCCTTCATATAATTATCCCTAACGCACCAGAGAAGAAAAGAAGCGTTGAAATGGTCACCGGACAAACATTAACATCTTGTTTATGAATAACAGACATATTATTTATTTACAAACACTCTAAACATCAATAATTCGGCGTAGCTACAATAAACAATAACATCTGGAACACAACAATAATTACGGCTATAATTACAACAACGTTAAACCCATTACAACAACAAACTTATGTTTTTATTTAGTTAGCTATATGGTTATAATCATAATCCTAACAGTAAATTACGTTATTAACTTAAATTCTTAAACAATAATAATAACTATCGCAATAGTATTCTGTATTTAACTATGATTAATGTTACCATAAAGTAGTTTAGTTTAAGTAAATTATAATGATGTTAGTGCAGTGGTGTTGTTCACACTAAGTATCCAGACGTCGGCTGTTGGATTTCGAGTGAAGTTGTGCATGGCGCGCCGGGAGACATTCCTTGAGATGGACTGCCTATTCATATGCCGACCTAATTCAGCATGACGCTGTCCGGTGACCTACTTTTTCATGGAATGTCTCCCGACGCGCCATACACATAGTTATAACAATCAGTTAATGCTGGACGCCCGTTTTGTTACCTTACTCCGCCTTATCACACCTGTGATACACTGCGAGAGATGAAAAGGCGGTGCTGGCCACCGTATTTTCTACCCAATAGTGTCTATGTGCGGAGATGGGCACTCAGTGGCTGTAAAATCGGAATGTTTACACTCCCCTTTTGTCTCTCCACAGTGTATCACAGGTGCGATAAGGCGTGGCGATGATCAGATCGGTAAACTGACGCCCTAAGAACTGCTTGCACGAGAACCACTTTGTGCAACGATAATGACTACTGTATATAAATTTTCTACACAGTAGCTTTGTCTGTTTAATTTATGTATGTACTCGTATAGTTATACTGTGTACGTACTGTGTATGCATTTTGTATGTACAGTAATCTGTTTATTGCTGTAGTTCACCGTATGTTTACAATTTTTTGTGTAATGAGCAGGCTATCATACCCATTCTATCATACTCATACTGGCTATCATTCTAATAATTATTATAAAAGTTAAGCCCTGGGGCCTCACGAGATTGTTTGGCGGGGTCCAAATGGACGTACACCTCTTAGCAATGTACTCATACTGTATTTTGTGGGACGTCGGTTTTACATGGCTAGTGGACAGACTAATAAAGCGTATTCGATCCTGGTACGTTACATTGTGAGGGAGAACACGGTTGCTGTACCACCCTGGAAACTGATAACTGATGCTGGAAAAGCTAAGGATACGGCACCCAAGGGGTTTTTTTCTTGATCTTATTGAACTGGATTTTCGGACAACTACGTCGTTATTCTACACTATACGGTAAAAATAGGTACCTACTACTGACTATTTCGATGCGGTTTGTGTTGTATGGTAGCCAACTGTATTTCGACTTAAGTTCTCATTGATAGACTGTGCACAACTTCTCATTGATACACTCACTTAAGTTCTCATAGATTCTCATTGATGACTGTGCAGATACAGTATTGCCCGAATTTTAATGTCAGTGACTGAAAATATTACTGCTTACTGTAAAGTCGGCAGGATTTTTTTGCTGTCAAAGGCAGTTTATTGTGACAGGCTTGGTAACGCGTTCAGTTATTATGATGTGGTCCTGATGGACTATGAGACTGTCAGGTGTGGGAGACACCTGAAAATTATTTTATTCCAAAACAGAAGTACGGGATAACATTCACATTCCACTGAATATAGATTCCACTCAACTAGCTAAAGCAAGTTTAGTTTTTTAATATTGTTAACATTTCAAAATTCATGAGGAAAACAAGTTTTTATTAGCACATCAGCACACAGTACGACATCTCGAGCAAAATCTATTAGCGGCGGTTATGGCGATCGCACCATCCCAGGAGCACACCCCACAAGAGCGTTGTAAACTGCGAAGAAGAAAGTATTATTATGATTTCATATACGTAATATCAACAAATAGGTCTATACAGATATGAGCGTTATAAATATTTTAGATAGCTTTTGCGTTGTCGCATACCAGCATGACTTGCAGTACCTGTAGATAATAATAATTGCCGGATTTAATAAGGGTGTATGATAATATTTGTAATATTTAATAAGGGAGTATGATAATATTAAATATTATAATTACAAATTTTATAATATTATATTTATGATATTTAATGATAATTTTTAATAAGGGTGTAATGATAATATTTATGCGACCGTAATAAGCAAGTAGCATATGTATTTACAAAACCTACCTCCGGATCGTCACGAATGGCTTGATCAATGTGACCCGGCTTGATGTCGGTGGCACGTGCAACTTCTGCCACGTTTCCAGCAAGGAACAGGAGTTCGGCAACCAAATACTCTAGAACGCCGGCCATGAATACAGATGCGGATTCTTCAGTTTGGCTACCCTGAATCATAGCCTGGTGAATACGGCCAACCGGCAGTATTGCACCGGCTCGCCTGGAGCGGAGAGGGCTCTACCTCTAGTTTTTTTCGCTACGCGACCGTGCGGCATTCTGTTACAATTTGAAAATTATAAAATGATTAATGCGGTTGTTAGGGACAGTGAGATTTAAATAGTGGTTTGTACGGATCTTTATTCCGGATATGCACAATCTGATCTGCGTGCTAATTAAAACGTAGAATATGAGTAAAGGTAAAATAAAACAGTATTGCATCATAGTTCCTTCAAATGTTTCTCAAAAGTGTACTCTTTTGTTTGCAAACCAACCATCTGCTTCCGGAATAGTGACACACACGCGGTAAAAATAGGTCAGTGCTTTTATTCTCCAATACCTTATCTGTTGCTGTTCTTTTGTGACCTTATTGTGCAATTTTTGCGCGAGGTCGGCCTTGCGCAGCCTGAAGAGTGTACAGCTCGTAAATCTATACCGCAAAAATAAAAAATGTACAAAATAAGTATTTAGTATTGTGTACTACATACTAGAAAAGTGCACTCGCTTTTTGCGCGCACTGCAGGATCGAAGCGGAGCAGGACTATATCCTAAATGATGACACCCCGTTTTACAGTGGGCACTCTTTTTCGATTATTTAATGCTCTCATTCCAGCTGGTATAATTTTAGTACAATGACAATAGTGAAATCTCGGCCTCAGGCGCCGGTAAGCATTTACATAAAATTTCGCAATTACGTAAGTGTTTCGAATACATGTTTCGACACTGTACACAAAAATCATAATTTCTTCAACTCTAGTGGAAAAATTTATGCCGGTTCATACAGTGCTGTGGAAGGTCACCGCCACAATATGCATATAATATGCAAAGCAGTCAATGGCACAGTAAATCTGCTGAATGCGGTAGGAGGGGTTGGATTTAGTAACGCTGGTGACGTTTTATAGAAAACTAAAAACTGAACTGAAAAGCAGCGTTCCCGTATAGGTCTATCATGTCAAAAATCTGGTGATACCGACTTGGCCGGAGGGCTACCATTTACACGAAATTGCCCTTAGTAATGCTAACGGAGTGCTATTCCGATTAGGCAGTTTTCTAGAAGGTACTTGTTAATAACCGGGATATTAATTTGTTTTGATTTTTTTATCGCACAGGGTTGTTTGGTTCGCTATGTCTGTGGGGACATATTTGCCGGAAATTGCACAATTTGGGGTTTTTCTAGTTATTTCGTTACTTAGTTTTTGTTATGTTGTACAATGTCAGAAGTCCGGAGTGGGTG